ACTTACATTGTGGATCTTCGGAAAGTGCAGCCACAGGCTGAGCTTCAAAGTGCTGCTGCTCATTGGACACGACACTGTTGGCATGGTTGCTGACATAGTTGCTTTGCACTTGATACAAATCTTCCCCTCCACTTGATGGCGGAAGCTGATACGAGTTTCTACCTCCATTGGAGGGCGGAAAAGAGTCTCCGCCGGCTTGGTGATGGGCTGAACTGCCGTTCTGAGATTCGCGATTTTTGGCGTAATTGCTATAGAAAATGGTGGACGGATCCTTCTCAGGATTGTAACTGAAAACATGGTTCTGCTGATAGCCCCAGTTACTCTCGTTGCCCCGATTGTTGCCGAATCCCCCACCAACATTGTTTCCTCCACTGAAACTTGTCTCAGGGACATTGGCAAGAGGCTTCCTATCGCCTGTGGAAAGTTAAAAAGAACACTTTAGATTTAGAAACACAAGATCATAAACAAAACATGATAACTTACGCAGATCTTTAGCCTCGTCTTCAATTATTTTGAAGTAATGCTCCAAATCATTTGCCTCGTTGAGGTTCCACATGATGACTTTGCGAGTGACAATTTAGAAACGAAGTGAAGTTTGGAACTGAGATGTTTCGCAGAGAGAAGCAGAACTGCAAGTGAATGATGACAGAGAGCTTTGCTCACTTTTCGCAAAAAATCAGCCACTTTTGCCCATTCATAAATGCTGTGCAGCTGTGGCGCTGCCGTAGGCATTCAAAAATCGGTGAGTCATTTCACATAGTGACGATTTCTCATTGGATTTTGAGAGTGTTTGCGCAAACTCGCTGGGGATTCTTTTGGCCAAAATTCCCATTTATTGTTTCTGAAACGGCTAAGTCACCGTTGAACTGCACAATTGCAAATGATGACAAAAAGACTGATTTAAAAAGCCAAATCAGTGGTTCAATTTTAGCAAAATTGCACTTCTTTTTCTTCTCTTTTCTTCTAGCATTCAAACACCTTTACAAAGAATATGCACCAAGACTAAACTAGGCCGATCCGCCTTTACCAGACAATGCCTGGAAGCTTTGCGGACAGCTAAAGGCAGCATTTCCAAAATGAGGAATAATCCTCCTACTGGCCACAAGACGATAGACTGTCTTGCAACTTTTTGTAACTGTTTTGCTGGCAACAAAAAATAATCGCCACTCAATGGGAGAAAGTGGACCAGAAGTGTCCGGTCTTGAGAGCAGCCTTTTCAAAGTTCAGAGTTGTTCGTATTTGTAAAGCCCACCAACACCACGACCACCACCACCAACATCAGCACTAGTGCTTTTGCTGAATTATTAAAGCTGACCTTCCCACTGAAAAAAGTTTGTAAAAGTGAGTTTTTGTGTGCTCAACGAATTTGCACTGTGGTCTGTGGTTGTCAGGAACGGAGTTGACCGTGGCCAACTGGTAAACGCTCAATTATTGATCAGACAGAGAGAAGAGTACAAAAAGTGTTTTATTGAAAAGTAGTACTAGAAAGTGGCAAGTGGGTCAATTGATAAACGTAAAATGAGATTCCGTAAGAGTCATTGGCAGCCTAAGAGTGTCACACCGTATTGAGCAAAAATTGGGCCACCTATCTCATCATATTCATCATATTCAGCTGGCCTGATTGCTCTGCATCTCCAGTAGAAAGTGGGGCACATCCTGGTTTGCGTCTTCCAGTGATTTGATCAACTCATTGATGAGGTTGATATCCTGCTTGAGGGTGGTGTTGAAGAAGCTAATTGCCATGCCGATCTTGCCCGCTCGCCCAGTCCGTCCGATGGCATGAATGTACTCTGAGAGGCAGTCGGGAAAGTCAAAGTTGATAACACAGTTCAGACCTTCGACGTCAATGCCTCGTGCCATCAGAAAAGTTGCTACTACGAGCTGAAGCTTGCCACTGCGAAAGGCCTGCACCACCCGCTCTCGCAGCTCCTGTACGCGATTGCCGTGAATTGAGGCGGCAGTGAAGCCATTCTGGTTTAGATAATCACTTAGCGTGTCTGACAAAACTCGCTCCGCGACAAAGATAACGATGCGAGAAAATTTGGTACACAGACTTTTCAGCAGCTTGATTAGCTCAACTTTTTTCTCTGTGTAGTTCTTGCAAGGCAGAATGACTTGTTTGATCTTGGAGTTGACTGCTTTGATGTTATTGCCCATGACCATGTACACGTAGTTGGGATGCAGGTACTTTTCCGATTCTTCACGTACCTGGCTATCGATGGTTGCGGAGAAGAAGAAGAGTCGACACAGCTCCTTGTTGATGAGAAAGTCTTTATCAAGTTTAGATGACTGAGGCGATGATTTTCCAAACAGCTTGTAGATTGCTTCTAGCGTCTCCTGATTAAAGTCAGCGGCAGTGGAAATGCGATTGGCCAATGGTATTCGTCGCTCAGTGTTCACTTCGGGATGAGGAAACAGAATTTTATCTATCTCGTCAATCACAATATAGCGAAGATTATGCAGCGCAAGTTCCTGTGCCAGCACCAGCTGCAGAAATCGTCCCGGCGTTGAGATGATAATGTCCAGGCCAGATTTTATCTTTTCTATTTGCTTATCAATGTTCACCTGGCCACCATACAGGTAGAGAATCCGCACTCCAGTGTCTTTTGTGAGAAGCATCATTTGGTTGAATATCTGCTGCACTAGTTCTCGCGTAGGAACAAGAATCAATGCAACTGGAGTGCGATTGGAAAACCCGGTTTGCCGTTCCACTTGACAGGTGACTACTTGAACAATGGAGGCTATGTAGGCAAATGTCTTGCCACTACCGTTGGGCGCTGAGACAAGTAGGTCCGTATTGCCAAACAGAATATTGGGGAAAATGTACTTTTGAATTGAAGTCAATTGATTGAATTTTAACTTTGCTAGATTGTATTTAACGATCATCGTGCTAGTTTTCGAGTTGTTGACATGGTTTGAAGTCTCAAATGGTTTGACAATCAAATCTGGTCTCTTTGATTCTACGTACACATCGTAAAATTCGAGCAACTCAAAATTTACTTCTTGTGGCGACGCCACATCCTCGAAATCCACAGAACCGCCATTCAGGCCATTGCCGCCTGAATACATCTCTCTCAGGCTTGCTGCAAAATAAGAATCGTTAGAAATCGTTAGCAAAAATGGAAACAAAGCACTTACTGGCCATCGAGGATATTTTTGGCAGGGCGGGCAAGGCCTCCTCAACCATTTTATCTTTTTTCTTAAAAAGCTCCGAAGTTTTTTCAGAAACTTGCAAAACTGAATCTAGGGTTGGCTTCATTATCAGCTGCTCTCTAAAACAGCATGTCATCGCGTCACGTTTTTGTGAACGGGACCTCTAGTTGGCGGGAATATTTGAAGTTTTAGAAAAGTTGATAAGGCATTTAGAATTTAGAAGGTAAGCGTGTTTTCGCCAGTTATATTGGCGCCATATCGATTGCTTGGCTGACAAACAAACAATTGTGACACCAAACAAACACATATTATAACGACTGCCAATAAGTATCAGTTTTTCCCATTCATCACCAGTACAGGGAGAATAGCGGCACATTTCCCCCATTGCCATAATAGCATCCAAAGTACGGCAATTAGGGCAATCATAATGTTAATTATGAGCTGCAATTGCGCCAAGTGAACAGTAAAGGAAGTGCATTAGCATTTTTAATTGTCCCCTTAACGTCAGCAGTCATTGTTTTCTTCCCCCCCCCTCCCTTCGACCAGCTATTATCGTGCTGGCATGAATCATGTTTTGCTGTTGGTGTTCTCTGCCGACTTCTAGTCTCCGAGTGCACCCAACTCCTGCTTTTCCACCCTTCTTTTTTTCCACTCCCCCGACATCTTCAACCTCCACCCTCCTTAGTGACTTCTTTTGCGCCTTCTGCCTGCACTGCCATTACACTACTGCCCTAATGTGACAATTAATTTTAATAACTGCCTCATTTGTGGGCCTTTTTGTTTTGCGCCGTTTGCCTGTTCTTCCTCCTCTTCCTCTTTTTCCTCCTTTTCTGCTGGTCGTCTGGCGGCACGGACCGACCAACCGACCGACTTACTGACTCATTGTCGCTGCATTTGGCTACATTTATAATCGGCAAATTGACACCAATAGGAAATGGTGCTTTCAGGCTAATTTAACCCATAGAATTGGCCAGCCAGGCAGCCTACCCACCAGCCGACTAATGGCTGCCACTCCCCATCTACTTCTCCAGTGCGCCTTTGCAACAGCAGAATTTGTTGATGATGACAATGCTCCTCGCTACTGGTATTGTTCCCCTTTTTCTCCGACGATGTCACCCTGTTAGCCCATTCAGGCAGTCCTGCGGAACACTAAGTAACTGTTGCGGCCCCTCTGCACTGCCTGCCTCCCCCTCTTCTCTGACTGCTGACTGGCATTGTCTTTCATTAACTTATTAACTATGATTTATTGCGCTGCCATTCGAAGCGAATACACGACCTTCTCACCAGCTGATAGCTGCTACTGCACTCTACCCTTCCCTTCCTCAGTCTCATCGCCTGCCAAAAGAAATCGAACGGTTTTTCTTCCCTTTCTAATGGCAAGCCCAGAGAGTATCCTTTCCTATTCCATTTGGAATCGATCCAAAGACACACGCGCATTCACGCGCACCATCAACAATAGCAGGAAAACACACAAACAGAGGCAGACTGGTCGATGGCTGAATGGATCACTCAGTGAGACCGCTGTGCCAGTGCATCTGCCAGCCAGCTCAACTCCAGTTCCTACTCCTACTCTCCGCCTTATCTCCTCCATCTCCTTCTCATCACTTGCCCAGACTAATGTGCAGCCCATTTGTGATGCCCTCATTAATTATTATTAGCATGTTCACTTGCAGACTGCACCAGTTGTGTGCTGCACAGCACTGCAGCACTACTCTATCACCCCAAAGTGTGTTACTACACACACTTCCAATCTGTTTTGTCGGCTGCAAAGGTAATGATTTAAGTGCTGCAGTGAAAAATTGTCGCTGTCGAGAAAGGTCACAAATCAAAGCAAACGTGTCGGGCTAGCGTTTTACTGTAATAACAGTTATTAGAAGCACTGACACCTCCGCTAAAATAAAAGTCAAGTTCAACCGCTCAAAACCCAGTTGTTATTAGGGATGAGCTCTTTTGGTTGAGATTTAGTGCCTGGTTGAGTTGTTGTTTACTAATTATTCCACTTTCAAGTACATTATTTAAATTTATGCAATTTAACATTTGCAAAAATATTATGATTTCTCCCAGATTAGTGCACTTTTGCACGAATAAATTTACATTTACATTTAAAAGGTTTTAAACAAGACAAGTTCGCTTGTTTGTCGTCAATTTGAGAAACTGCGACTGCCTCCTTTTTGCTGAACACCACTGTCCCTGTCTTCTCTCTCTCTCTCTCACTTCCCTCGTCTATCACTCATGTCTGTCTAGCTGAAGTTGTTTTTGTTTGTCTCTGTTTGCTTTAAAGTGACATATTAGTGCAATCGTTGATCGAGATTATTATTATTATTGCTACTACTCCTACTACTACCGTCTGTGCCCCCGTCTGACGCAATATGAAAAGGATGAAGTGAGAGTGAACTAGAGATATGAACTGCCTGAGAAGGACATGTTCTGCTGGTGCCTTCTCTTGGGGAACGACCAGTTGTAGCATCGACAAGGGAGAGGGAGAGAGCGAGAGCTCTGCTTTACGATGTTTGCACTGCTGATTTGATGCTTCTTCTCTTCTTCCACCTACTGTGCACCAGTGGCACTGACTGCTTGAGAGAGCATCAACTGATAATGTTCATCTGTTCATTGTTCCCTTCCGTTCATTGTCTTACACTGCACTTCATAAATATGGTGACTGATTTCATTTTTAGCTGAGTGAGAATGTGTCCTTTCCTCCTTCCGCTGTCTACTGCTCGCCTTGCCTACTGCTTACTTNTCTTCCACCTACTGTGCACCAGTGGCACTGACTGCTTGAGAGAGCATCAACTGATAATGTTCATCTGTTCATTGTTCCCTTCCGTTCATTGTCTTACACTGCACTTCATAAATATGGTGACTGATTTCATTTTTAGCTGAGTGAGAATGTGTCCTTTCCTCCTTCCGCTGTCTACTGCTCGCCTTGCCTACTGCTTACTTCGACTTGTCTTAAATTAAATTGCATCAACACTACTTGAACGCTGGCTAAAAAGTGCAAACATATATTTCATTTTATTTGCTGCACACATATTTTTCCCTTTCGACAGCACTTTAGTAAAGTTTAATCCGCTAAAATGTGTCTCCCACTCTTTTTATTTTTTAACTAAACGGTGTTTTCTGTGCAAGTGAGCCCACTTTTGATTGTCCCATGCTCGGTGTTCTTAAAAATGTTTTTAAGCAACTTTTTATTAAAAAATATATTTAAAAAAGTTAATTAATTTTTGCACAATTTGGATTTAAAATTTAAATTATTTTTTATCCTGAATCTTGTATCCATCTGTTTTTAATTAAACTAATTGAGTTTTTGCAAGTTTTGAAAAGTATCAAAAGGTTTGTTTTTCTTTAATCCTTAAGCCTTTAGCAGGCAAGTTATCTTTTGTCAAATTTTGCAAAATTGTTACCGTTTGAAACTTAATTAAAACTCTGTTTAGTTTTAAAGTTTATTTAACATAATAGTTTCCGTCATAGTTTACTGATAATAAAAACAACCAATGAGCATAACAAAAACAATAACATATTTATAACTAATTCAGCATGTGAAAAATTTTAAATAAGTTAAACGTTTAAACAAGATACATTTGCAGTTCTTGTTTGAAATGCACCAAAAAACAATAATTATTTAAAAAAAACTTGTCGATTTGCATCTCATGTTTCAAAATAATTTAAATTTTAAATTAATTTATAAATAGCAGCGATGTTTTTACAAAATATAGATGCAAGTTGCTTTTTAGTGCAAGTCAAAGTAGCAAAATAGTGTTTTTTATGAATATTGCCATAATTAACAATTATGGTTTTGTCATTTATTTAAATGAAAAGTAGTGAGATTTACATTTTTTTCCACTAACAATGAAGATACGTCATCGTTCAGCTTTGCATTGAGCTTAACAAACTTTTGTGCTTCGTCTAATATTCTCAACATCGTTGTTGATGTTGTTGTTTTTATTCACAGCCCAAAACAACACTCGGGTGTTTTCATTTCACTGATCATTATTAATCTGTTTGCATGTGAAGTGGTGCTCTGAAGTACATCTTCTCACTTTCACTGTCTGTGCCCAAGTAAAATTTTTAATGCGGTTGCGGCAATTTATTATATTTTTAATTTTTCTATAGAAAACTTCACTCGAAAGCACTTGACTCTGTTTTCATAAATTCCCGTTGAGATTGCTGCCCTTCCTGATGCTCAGCACTGGCGGTAGCTTAAAACTTTTCACTTTTATTATTAAACCTATTTTCAGATCAATTTTAAAGTGAGCACTGCCTGTGGCTGCTGCTGCTGCTTTTGCTGTGCAGCAAAACAGTCGCCTTTGTGGCGGAACTTTTGTTGATGCTCATCTGCTTCAACGCCAGAAACTGTGCCTCGTTTGCTATCTTTCCTTGTTCTAGTAGTTCTTGTTGTTGTTGTTCTTGTAACGTAACAACTTCGTCCTCTTTTTTTTCTTCTGTTTCTGGGCCAATTGGCTGCCATCTCAAAACACTTACCATACATTATCATCTCGCCAGTGGCTGAGGCTTGAAGCCATCTCGGACCACTGGCACATCGACTGGCAAACAGGCTCCCAACCCAACCTTCACTTTTTCCGGCTGTGATTTATGACTTAATTTTATTATGTCCATACCGACACGACCCATT